ATCATTACTATCACTACAAACAATCACAAAATCATCTGCAAACTGAAACAACATGACATTACCAGAGTTAAGTTGATGTAAAAGAGCAGTATAAATATTAAACAATAAGGGTGACAAACAACTCCCCTGTGGCAACCCATTACACACAATAACCTGACTATCCCCAATTTTCAAAATCCTCTTAGAGAAAAAATTATAAACCCAATTAATAATTTTAACATCAGCCCCCTTATCACCTAAAATTCTCTTAAGAGTGACTAAATCAACACAATTATAAGCATCCTTTAGATCCAAAACACAAATAAAAATCTTTTGCCTTTCCGACTTCAACTTACTCACATAAAATAAAAACTCATTAATACACATAGTAGCCGACTTCCCCTTCCTATATGCAAAGCTACGCAAAGGAATAATGCCATTAACATTAGACCATTCTACAAGTCTATCCTTGACCATCATATTTAAAGTTTTAACAATAACCGATAATAGGGAAATTGGCCTATAATTTTTAATGTCACTCAAATTCCGATTTGCCTTAGGAATCGGCACTATCTTAATAACCCTCCACTCATCCTTAACAATATTATTATTAAAATGAAAAACAAGATCAGCTCGCAACTTTTCTTTACAATCATTTGATAATTGCCTTAGCATTTCAAAAGTAATCCTGTCAAAACCTCCTGCCGTACTCTTCTTTTTACTCAAAACCAAAGACAAATCATCCAAAGAAAAATTCAAATAACTATCACCATCACTATATGAACTATTATCATTAAAATCCAAACCAGTACAACCAACATACTGATTACCAACCTGATCCCTAAGCCACTCTAAATATTTCATATTATCCTCACTAACCCATTCTAATCTTTTATGTTTACATCCCTTCACATTATTAACAAACTTCCAGGCATCTCTAGAATTAGCATTACTATTAAGTTCACTTATTTTCATTTTATAATTCTCACTTTTTGCTTTTTTCACAGCAGCCTTCCATTCTTCTCTCAATAAACAAGCCTGTTCCATATCCTCCACTCTACCAGTCAGCCTGGCTTTCTTACGACTAGCCAAAAGCCTTCTATACAATCTACTCAAACTATCACACCACCAAGCCTTTGGAGAAAACTTAGTACAGTTTAAATCAATCGTAGCATTTCTAATCTCTTTCCGGATTAAGCTCACAACATCATCAGCATCACCATCACAATCAAGGGTCATAAGAGCTTTCTTTAACTTAACCTTAGAAACAAAAAGCTGAGGTAATCTTTGAATTCCTTTAATATCAATTAATAAAGGATGATGATGGCTACCACCAACATATCCATCATTACAATTCCAACTAACATCAAAAGCCGAATTAGTAAAAGATAAGTCTAAAACCGACTCAATAACACACCCATTCCTATTCACAGAAAAAGTCTTAGAACCATCATTAAGACATCTCAGTCCTGATCTATTACATATATTAAAAACAACCTTCCCTTTAGGACTATTGTTCCTATCACCCCACATTCTATTCTTAGCATTAAAATCGCCAACTAAAAGTAGATTATTAAACTTAACCAGAAAAGAAAAAAGCCGATTTACTTCATATTCAAAAACTCGAGTACTAACACTAGGAGCAAAATACACAGAACACACAACAAAATTATCCTTCAAATTAATAGTTTTAGCAATGACAATGTCATGTATTGAATTATACCTCACTCTCTCAAATCTTATATTTTTCCTGAAACCTACCGCAACACCACCATAACCATCCCTTCTCATCTTCTTAAGTAAATTAAAATTTATCAACTTATGCTCAGACTTTTGCTCATCATGAGAAAAAATTTCCTGAAGAGCAACAATATCAACATTATTTTGTTCAATAAAGAAATCTAAAAAATCCTTATTAGCCTTTAAACTTTGACAATTAAGCTGCAGAATTCGAATCTTGTCCATCAATATTAATAGAAGAAGCCACAAGCCTATCACTAACACTAGTCTTACATAAATTACTCATCAACTTCACCAAAGGTTCCTCAGAGTTAATATCAAATTTGTCAACCAAAAGCGCCAAAAGCCTTTCAATTTCAGAAACCTTACTCCATCTTTCACTATTAAAACAAGGACTTATTGTCTCTTTACTTCTCCGAATCTGCTTCTGCTGATCAACAATGGGCTGAAAACTCCGATCCTTAACAACTTCATTATACCTCCTCCTCGTCAACCTTCTATTAACAATATCATTATTATCCTGCACCTTATCCAAACTACTACCAAGCACCGGAAAAGAACTCTCATAATTATCCAACAAAGAAAAACGATTATTACTATGTAATATATCATTATAACTCTCAAAGACTTCCCTCCTAGAAATCTTCTTGACAGTCATAATCTCAATAACTTCCTTTTCCTTCCTCCATACATCACATTTATTCTTATTTAAAGACACATGATCACTATTACCACAAAGAATACACTTAACTTCATTATCAGAGCATTTTCCAACACACTTTTCAATCTTTCCACAAAGAATACAACGATTCTGCCTCCTACAAGACATTCTTGTATGACCCAAACATCCACAATTGAAACATTGTTTTGGTCTAGGAAAATAATGACTCACTTTAAAATCTACACAGAATACTTTAACAGACTCAGGTAGAACACTACCTACAAAACCAATCTTGACAGCCAGAGTCGGAATATACTTATCACGATTATCTATATCTCGCCTATTAATTCTTTTAACAGACGAAAAAGGTACAACAGACTTCAAATTCTCAAAAATCTCCCTATCCGAAAAATCAAGTGGAACCTGTCTCAAAACACCATAAGTTTCAACAAAACTACGTGGTATAAATACTCGTATACCTTTTTCCTTCAAAACCTCATTAACAACACAATCATTAGCAGTACAAGCACTTTCGAAAAAAATCTTATACAAAGACTTACCAATCGCCTTTATATTCTTCATACCTTTAATATTATACTTGCGTATTTTTGCAAACAAAAACAAACCATTTTTCATAAATTTATTATCAAAGAAAGGACTCTTCGAAGTATCAGCAAGAACACAAAATTCACCCCTATAAAAATCAGAATATACAGCACTCTTATACACACCCTCAACACTAAAGCCATTCTTACTAATGTTACTACCACTGTTAGTATTCTGAGCACAAACATCTTCTTCAAAAGAATCCGCATTTAACTGACCACCACTGTTAAAATTCAAGGACACAATATTCTTCTCACTTCCATTAAGCACAATACCATTTTGAAAATTATGTATATCATTCAACATAACCCCATTATCTCCAGAAACACTATCAACACAAACATTTCCAACCTGAGCAGGCCTTTGACCACCATTTTGAATCAAACCCTCATCAGATGAAACACAAGGCACAACCATATCACCATCTCTCTCATTGAGCACAGCATTACACTCTCCAACACCCTGTACAACACCGCCATTTTGAGCATTATACACACCACTGAACATAACCTCTTTATCACAAGTAACCCCTGCAACACCACTTTTTCCAACCTGAACATCCCCAAAAACACCATTTTGTAATAACAACGTCTTATTAAAAGTACCCCTGGGTACAAGCATGCCCTGTAAAGCAATCTTTGGTATATCCCTAACCTCACTTAAATCCTCCTCAGAAAAACTATCCCCATTACTAACATCCGTCTTTGCATCCTTGCGCCTTTTACCAGAGCCTTTCTCATTCCTGTTTTTATTCCTAGCTCTCATATACTTCCTTGCTGAAGAATTATGCGCAGAGAAATGTGAACAATCTAAAGTTACCCAAAATATTTATAAAAATTGTACCGAACACTTCGCAGTAAAAGTTTGTGGGCTACGCTAAATCTAATTTTTTTTAATTATGACATTCCTATTTAAAGTTAAAAAGGTGCTTGAGTTTCTAATTTACCACATGGGAACATTTTCCTATAAGGGCGGTGGAGGAAGGAGTAGGGGACGTGGAACCTCCCACCCCTTTAGATAGGGCATGAACCGCAATTCATAAAATTGCCAAAAATCACAATTTTCACCTACGCCCACAGTATTTTTAAATTGTCGGCCAACGGCCGGGCTTAGAGATTATAAATCTCACTATGTAGAGTTATCATTTTTGTTATGTCAAGGGTATTTTCAAAAAACGCGCATGAGTACCGAAATTTTTGAAATATTGAGTCAATCTGAATTGGGTGCTGGCATCTCTATTTTTTCAATTTTTTTCCTCTAGAGGTCGCTTTGTGTTGTCATACTGCTTTTCTTTTTGGCACCTTCCTCTAGAGCTGAGATACTATCGATAGTACCGCCACTCGATAGTTTTCGAAACGATCGTTGAAAACATCGATAGTATTATTGTCGTGACAGGTATTGAATGGAAATGCTAATAGCCCGAACACAATGAAAACGACGAGCTACAAACCACAGCTGTCAAATTATTTTAACACGTACTCTTATGTAGATAATTATTTTGGCGACGACCGGGCTACGCGACGGCTGTGGTTGTGGCCAGATTAGATCTATTTCTATTTTTCTGGCGACAGATAACGTTCTTCCTCTTCTTTTATGTCAAACTCATACAAATTTATGATATCGCTGCCGCGTTCAAATAAATCATGTCGCCATCGACAATGCATTTAGATAATGAAGATGACAAATTGGAAGCTGTGGTCCGTAGCTCGTCGTTTTCAATGTGTTCAGAACTTAAATTGCTTGAAAATTAAATAATTAATAAATTACTTTGCAAATGAAAGAGATTGTATAAATTTGTTTAAATTTGAGTGCATCAGAAATAACTTTCTATAATAATAAAATAAACTTATTAATTTATGCATCTGAATTATATATACATATGATTTGTGGATTGCATTTCCTATAGCTTAAAAAAATGAATGTAATGGTAAGAGATGTAAAGAGAGAAGTTTCGCTAAAACCGACATCGATAGTTTTCAAAAACTATCGATAGTGGCGACAGTTTTCAACTATCGATAGTATCCCAGCTCTACCTTTCTCGCCAAAAGTCGACGTCCCAACGTAGTTAGCACGTTAATTTTTACGCGAATTTGAAGAAAATTATTGGAAAATTAATTCGAAGCTTTTAAAAAATACACATACAATATGGCGCAATTCGATTTAACAAGGATTAATTGTCAGTTTTTAGACCGGCATCTTACTTTCCCGCTGTTGGAATTCTTGTGCGGAAAAGAGGTTAGGAACACCTTCGTTTTTGGTTGATGCTAATTTTTTTTATTTATATTTCTGCAATTATAGATTTACAATCAGCAAGCATTGTTGGAGTACATCCTCGAGACAGTGAACAAAACCAACATGATTGATTATACTATGGATACACGCAAACGATTGAATCTAAGTCAAGAAATGCCAGAGGAATTGGTCCAACGCAAAGCTGAGGTCCTGGCTACACTAAAGCAGTTGCAAAATGAAGTAGCACCCATTATGAAAGCAACAGACATTCTCAAAAATGGCGAGAGCATGAAAGATTCCAAAACTTTCGTCAATGCTCTGCAAAAGGATTATAACTTTAAGGTGGAACATTTGGAGAGTGCATACAAGCTTGCAAAGTATTTGTACGAGTGCGGTAATTACCAGGAATCAACTTCGTATTTATATTTCTGCTTGATTGTAATGTCACCAAATGATAAGGTTTGTTATGGATAAGTGCCAAAATGAATTGCTCTTAATAAGATCGCACCTGTCTTTTTTTGTGTTTT